CATCTAGTTTATGTCAGATCTGTTACATTATGGAAACGGAAATAATTTTGACTGTGATTGACATAGGATTCAAGTATGCATTTACCTTTCTTTCCTGCAGTGCCTCACCCTTCAACATTATGTAAGGGCTACCATGTCTGATTCAACAATGTAGGATTTCATAGAACACTTTCTTGGACCAAGAAAATTATTTTCTATATACTTTTTGGAAAATAAGTTGTATCAATAGACTCTGACCATGAAATCCACATAGGATACCATCTAAAAGCTGCCGGCCTGAATGAATCAGTTTGGAGATGAATCCCTGAGGGAACTGAATGCCATTCTCTAGGACATAATATTTATCTTAAACTAGTGGCTAGTATATTAAATGGTGTATCCAAAATTTAGAATATATGGGTCTAGAAAGTAAGAGTAGTTCACCTTTTCTACTGGAGATCCATTTAGGAATTTGGGATTCCCATTCCTGCAACTTTAGGCTCATAGCTCCTCAGATTCTGATTTGTAGAATGGTTCACTTCTAATACCGAACACAGTCAGATTCACACCAGACAAATCTCAAGATGCTACTTGACCTCTTTGTATATTTTCAGCCTGCAGATCATAAAAAACTAGAAAACAAATGAGTTATCATACTGTCAGGGGTAATTGATTTTGATCACCATGAGGAAGTATGGTTGCTACTCCATACCAGGACACCTCTGTAGTTGTAGCTCAAATTGGGCAAGTGCAGTAACCATGGTCTGAAAAATGCATGATAAATAGGAGCTCAGGGTTCTCAGGGTTGGTAGTATAGCTTACCCTACAAGGTAAACCAGAGATTTTGACAAGCAGAAATGCTAGACAATTAGCAGAAGAATCTAGAAAGGGTGGTTGCAGAGGGACATGATGAGTTACAGTTACGGTTTTAGGATCAGCCACTGCAGCAGGGGATGCAGTTCATCCTACTAACCCTTCTCTTGTAAATTTTCCCAGAAAATGAGACCAGCCAGAATCCTAGAGAAGCTGTGTCTGGATGGAATACACTTAATGTGACAAGTGAATCCGAGTGATGCAAGGGATCCACATTGCTGATGCATCACGCAGATCCCATTGCTAATACATACGCCCATCTTCCTGTGGCTCTGCATGCTGGTTAGTAAGAACCCATAGCTGTCCCCGTCTTCCAAAAATTATTATTGGTCAAACAGATGCCACCCTCCACCATCTCTTGCAAGTGGACCTTGACCAGTGACTGTGGGACATGAGCGTTCAAAAAAGCAGCTTCTTGTCTTAAGGTGGGCATACCTCTGTGGTGCAATTTAAACTTTGAAGTTTCACAATGGGCTCAGAGTATAGCTAGTCTTCTGCTGAGACCCATCCTTGTTTAGCATTTTTTTCCTTGCTCTATCTGCCTGTCTCATCCCATTTTTTCATAAATGCACTCTTCCAAAATACTGCTCAGGCTCTATTTCTGGGGAACATAACCTAAGATAGTCTTGAAATGCCTTCCTGCCTTTCAGCAGAGATGGAGGTAGTGACCTACTCATGCCTGGAGGCTGACCAAACAAATAGCATGAAAATGGTGACGTCATGTGGTTACTGGATAGAATTGTTTATGAGCACATACAAGACAGCTGTTGGGGCCTTGCCAATATAACTGAAAAAGATTTCATCAAGAATTGAAGAAATTGCATTTCAGAACAAGAGTAAATAGAATTTACTGCTAATACATCTTCATTTAAAATCCTGAACTAGAGTGGCCTGGTAAACATGGGTTACTTGGCTATAGGGAACAGGCATTTCCAGCCATTGAAGTCTTTCATCTTTTATTCAGATTACTGCACCTCTTGTCATATGTGGGAAATCACTGTGGTAATTTGAAAATGGCTTATTGTGCATGGACTCAGAGCTACTAGAATATGTAATTTTGAGGTGTATTTCTTCTGGGCCATGGTGAACCCTGATGGGTGATATCTCCGCTCATATATGATTTACATGTATAGTTTTTGTTTGTTTGTTTGTTTGAGACAGAGTCTCACTCTGTCACCCAGGCTGGAGTGTGGTGGTCCAATTTAGGCTCACTGCCACCTCTGCCTCCTAGGTTCAAGTGATTCTTGTGTCTGAGTCTTCCAAGTAGCTGAGATTACATGTGCACATCACCACACCTGTCTAATTTTTGTATTTGTAGTAGAGAAGAGGTTTCACCATGTGGGCCAGGCTGGTGTCAAACTCCTGGCCTCTAGTGATCTGCCTGCCTCAGCCTTCCAAGGTGCTGGGATTACAGGTGTAAGCCATCACACTGGGACTCATATAGTACTTTTAAAACACTATAAACTTGAGGCTGGTTTGTCATCATTTTTCTATCTTCCACTACTATGTTTGTCTTCATCAAATCATTTTCTAAATGCTGTTGTTTCCAAATTTGAACTTGGAAATTACAATCCAACATTCCTGAGATATCACTTAAATCAACTTCACTTAGTTTTTCTATGTTCCTATATACATCAGTCACATACAGACAGACAATTTCTAGGTTTATTTCTGCCAATGCTACTAACATCGGTTTCATATGGATTGTACAAATTGGAATCTTGGAGTCAATTTAATTCTTTTAATTACAAATTCTCACTGTATATGTCAATTTTTTTCTCTTCTTAAATGCTACTCATCACTTTCAAAAACTGGAAAGAGCCAAAGTAAAATGGCTTTAATATCATTGGTTAGCAAAATATCACTGCATTTTACCTTAAAAGAAGATGGATCACAGGGATTTTCAAGGCTGTTAGTCTATCTTCATGGTTTCAGGCCAGGACTAAACTTAACAGTTCAGAGCGAATGATTTAATCTCTTTTTAGTTTATCTTTAGACGAAACATGATTCCTTTATATTTTAGGATTAATATAGAAGCTAAAGATACCATCATTTCCTCAAAAAATCACTATCATTTCATAACTAAATAGCTATCAGAATATCCTTAACACTTAAAATAGCTAGAATAGACTACTATTTATCAGAGGCTTGATGTCTATCAGGATTCATAGACAGCTGACTGCAAGGCATATCAGTCATTTTTGGAACTAAGAAATTTCCTCTTATTCATAAATACTCTCGGATTTGCCTGTCAAAGTCGCTATGTCTCCATCACTAGAGATTTGTTTATTTGGCTTAGGGCTTTGCTTCTCTGCGATTTGATTTAACAACCTAGATGTTGGGCAGCTAGGCTGAATTGGCTTGGCATCCTTATCTGGAACTATTTTCGCGTAGAAGAAAAACAGTATTTTACTTCTGGCCCCATTCTTCTTACTTTCTAAGATTTTTAATCAGAACAAATAAGATAAGATTAAGAGTCCTAAGAACAATTTTCCCTATCTACAACCTAAGACTAGTCCAATATTTCTCAAACTGTGTTCTACAGAGATGTTAAAAGATGATACAGTGTTTTTTGAATAGATGGTACTTTGGTTACTTTATACAACAGTAAATAATTACAATGTAATTAGAAGATTTGAGAAATGGTACAGAAAATAACATTTCTTTTTTCAAACTTTAACTGTTTGCATTTGTATGAACAACAAAAAATTTTTGGTAGCACATTTAGCCTCATGCAAGCCACCAATGTGGGGGTCACTATTTGGGAAATACTTGTGTAGTATAAAACCAGGGCATTTATATCCCAAATCAAGGTCACATCCTGCATCTGAAATGTATCTTCAGTCCCTGTGACTCATGGGCATATGTCTCATACAGCATTCTCTCCTAAGGACTTCTAATGTGAATGTAATCACTGTGATTTCCTTTACTATTTTTTACCCATAATTTAAATATTATAAATATATATTCAGCATTTATGATATAGAATTAAATTAGTTGTGTAGATTAACGTGTAAAATTAAGATTAATTAACCTGTATTAACTAAAAGTTACAAATTCCAGAATTCCAACTACATCCTGCTTATACAAGGGTATTTATCAATTGGTGAAGTTGGCAGGTCATAGAGTCAAAAAGCTTCAGGATTAAGAACAGATCTTGAGATGTCTGACTCCAGAACTAGAGACCTGACACAATTGGTGTTCCCTTCAGCTTCTTCTTATCTGCAATTACCTCTTCTTGACTTCAGTTTTCCTTACATCAGACAGGTTTTTTCAATGTGGGGTGAGACACAATGGCTTCCAGTAGCAACCAATTCACATTTCAAACTCCATGACCCCCAATGACCCCTCTCCTCTTGCTTTATACAAAAATCTCAGGGCAACGATATGTTTGGATTGCATTAGATCACATAACAAGGGTGGACCAATCACCGTGGCCAGATAATTTGACAAAGTTACTGCCTAAATCTGGATTATATGCTTTCCTTTTAAAACTAGAAGGTGGGTTATTGAATCCTGTTGAATTGAAGGAGTAGTTTCCAAAAGGAAAAGTGGGGAAAGAAAAGGGAAGGAGTTCTTCAACAGGCAATAATCAAAATATTCACTATATTTTACTCTTTGATAGATCCATTATATCCTATACCAGTACATAAATTTGCAACAGTGCTCATACCTAAGACAAGGCAGTTTCTGGGTAACTAGAAACAGATTTTATCTCTTCCATCAGAACACGACTTAAATCTTGTTCAATTAGTTAATTTACAAATCTCTGGGTTCTGTTCAGCTTTCTCAGTCAGCTCTGAATGTACCATTTTGTGATCTGGCCATTTATGGGCTAAATGATAAATAATACCATTTATAAATAAAAGTAGAAAGATAATATAAGCACAATAAGACCTCCCTTTGGAAACAGGAAAAATGGAAAGCAACCTACAACAATCAGAGCTCTAGAATGCAGATTTTACTGTGGTAGAGAATGGTTGGTAGTTTCTCCCCTCATGGCTGAAGAGTGACTTCTACAAAGAAGCATCCATATGTTCCATAGTTGAAAGTGATTGGTTTCTGATATGGCTTGGCTATGTCCCCACTCAAACCGCACCTTGAATTGTAATAATCCTCACCTGTCAAAGATGGGTGGATTATTATCTCCAGGTGGTGATAATTGAATCAAGGGGTCAGTTTCCCCCACACTGTTCTCATGGTAGTGAGCAAGTCTCATGAGATCTGATGGCTTTATAAATGGGAGTTCTCCTACACAAGCTCTCTTTTGCTTGCTGCTGTGTGAGCTGTGAGTTTGCTCCTCATTTGCCTTCTGCCATGATTGTGAGGCCTCCCCAGCCATGTGGAACTGTGAGTCAATTAAACCTCTTTCCTTTATAAATTATCCAGCCTCAAATATATCTTTATTAGCAGCATGGGAACAGACTAATACAGTGCATCCCTTGCCCAAAGTCCTCCATAATTACTTTTCAAAAGGAGATTGGGAGGATTTCTCATCCATGGACAGTACTGCATTGGAAATTCTTTTCCTATTTATATAAGTTTAGGGAATCTTGGAATTGCTTTAGGGATTAAGTAGTCATAGGCCTCTGAGAACCAGCCCTACATGGCAAATACGTCACTTAAGAAACTGGTGGGACTGCCAGGCAATTAGATTTTTTCCTTTCATGTGCACACACTTCCTAGATGATCTCATGTATTCATATAAATATAAATAAATTTGTGAAATTTGGTTAATATCTTTGGCCCCCACATTTCCCCTGAGCATCAGACTTGCATTCCCAAACTCTCCTTGAAATCTTTATGTGGGCAGTTCAAATTTAACAAGGCCAGACCGTTGGGTCTTCTCACTTAGTGCACGACCTTAATGATTCCCCCCATTTTCTGAGGCCAATCATTCTCATTAATCATATTCAGAAATCCCCGTTTACTGTGAATCTGGTCATTTATTGTCGTTTCCACTGCCATCACCCTGGTTCAAGACAGTACAATGTCTTGGGTGGTGCAAAAGCTTCATATGCAAAAGCTTCATAACTCCTCCCCTCTCTATTCCTCATCCAGTAATATAAATTCAACTCATTCAGCTAGAGTACATTTTAAAGTTATACGCCAGATAAAGCAAACTCTCCTGCTCAAATAGTTCTGTCTTCTCACTACTGTAAAATGGAATTTGAATGCCTGACTGTACCTACCCTGCAAGGTGCTATGTGTCTGGGCTATTGATTCTTTGATGGGTTTCACTGTGTTCAGTCCATTCTAATCACATTGGCTTACTGTTCACTGAACACTTCAAACTTGTAATGACCTAAGACTTTTGTATTGTAGTTCCCTCTGTATTGGCTATGTCCCCACATAAATGTAACCTTGAATTGTAATAATGCTCATGTGTCAGAAACAGGCGGATTATTATCTCCAGCTGGAGATAATTCAATCTTGGGGGCTGTTTCCTGCACAAGGTTCTCACGGTAGGGAATAAGTCTCACAAGAGCTGATGGCTTTATAAACAGGAGTTCCCATTTATAATGGGGAGTTCCCCATTTATAAAACCTCTAAGTGGGGAACTCCATTTATAAAACCTCTGCCTTTATTTTTGTGTTCCCAGATGTGAGCATAGTTTTCCTTGTTTTTTTTTTTTTCAAGTTGCTCCTTAAGTGTCAACATCGTTTTCTTATATTCTTCTATTTTTATTTATAGTGCTTATATATACCTGGTATATCTATTATTTGTATTTTTATTTTTTGTCACCTCTGAAACACTGGAATATAATCTCACTATAAAGCATTTTCCATTTTGTTCATTGCTGTTTTCTAGAATGGTATGTGGAATATTTCCCCCTATATATCTATTTATTTATGTCTTTACCTTTCTATCATCTATTTTTTTCTATTGATTATGGTTTGAATCTGTGTCCCCACCCATATCTCATGTTCAAGTTTAATTCCCAGTGTTGGTGATGGGGCCTGGTGGGAGGTAACTGGAACATGGGGGAGGTTTCTAATGGTTTAGCAACTTCCCTCTAATATGGCTCTTGTGATAGATTTCTAACAAGATCTGGTTGTTTAAAAGCGTGTAGCATCTAACCACCCCACCCAACACACCCCACCTGCTTCCTCCTGCTCTGGCCCTGTGAGATGTGCCTGTGGCCCCTTCAACTTACACCATGATTGAAAGTGTCCCGAGGCCTCCCCAGAAACTGTCATGTTTCCTGTACAGCCTGTGGAATCATGAGCCAATCAAACATCTTTTCTTGTTAAATTACCCAGTCTCAGGTATTTCTTTATAGTCTGAGAGTGGACTAATACACTATGCTTCTACCCATGTAATTATTCATATAATACATAATGCATTTTTAATTATTTTTATAGCTAATAACCAATGCCTAACTCATGATCATTTAACATTCACCTGCCTTTCTGATTTTTGTTTCTTAGCAACGAGCTAGCATGGACTCTGTATTTTAATCTTATTTCTGCCCCTGATGATAAGTGTAAGGCACTGTTTTAATTGTTTTGCAATGCATGCATTCATCTTTCCTTTTAAGCAACCCAATAATGTAGGTAAAATCATATATTTTTATTTTTGAAGAGAAAAGTGAGGCATAAAGGAGTTTACTTATGTTTCCAAGTTACACAGCTAATAAGAGGTAGAACCAGGGTCCTACCAAGGCAGTTTGGCTCCTAAGTCTGTGCATGTGACCACTCTGATCACACTTTTTCCGGAATGGGCCTTGGTTTCTTAGAGCAGTGAGCAGTACTAGAGAAAGAGAGGAGCCTAAGGGAATAATATCCCAGGATTCATCTTAGAGAGGCTTTGTCAGGGGGATTGTGTAGCAGTCTGGGCCAGGGAGTTCAGACTTTTCTTCAGAATTTTCTCAATTTCCTGATACCACAAAGGGCTCAGGCTCTCTCTTCTATTTGGACTATTATTGCCCTTGTTTTTGCTCATGTGAAATTTAAAATGTTTCAGAGAATCGAGCTATTATAATTATCCAAAATCCATGATTGACTTTCAGTAGCTTTGCACAATGGACCACAGGCAGAAAAAGTCTTTTGTATTAAAGTTGAGTTGTATTCTGTTTCCTTTTCTGCTTTCAGTTTGGGTCTCCTCAGTTTTGGTTCTCGATTCTGTTTGTACATTTGAATCACCCAGGGAGCCTTTAAAAATACTTGGCCCTACCACATAACAATTAAATAAAAATCTCTGAGGATGGAACTATGGCAACCCTATTTTTTGTAGTTCCCTTGGTAATTCTAATGAGCAGCTAGAGTGAGAACTATTGCCTTAGATCAGTGGCTCTCAAACTTCAGCAAGTGTCATTATTACCAAGAGAGCTTATTAGACAGATTGCTTGACCCCACCCCTAGAATTTCTGATTCAGTAGGTCTGGGATGAGGCTGGAAAATTTCATTTTCTAATAAGTTCCCAGGTGATGCTGGTCCTGCTGGTTCCAGGTGATACTTTGAGGACTACTGCCTCAAACCAAAGCGTGGTTCTATTTGCAGAACCCTGTGAAGGTTTTAGGAGGAGGCAATTCATTGCTGATATTCTGATATTTTTTCCAGTGTCTTTTAAATTTCTAGTCTGCACAGGCATATGAAGTATGCACCAAGATACAACAGGTAATACTTTAACCATTTGCTGAGGAGGTAATATTACACATTCCCAACTTGATGGATACTTGCATTATTTCTATATTTATTTTTTGTTTTGTTTTGCTTTGGTTTTGAGACAGAGTCTTGCTCCGTTGCCCAGGCTGGAATGCAGTGGCACAATCTTGGCTCGCTGCAACCACACCTCCAGGGCTCAAGTATTCTTGTGCCTCGGCCTCCTGAGTATCTGGAATTACAGGCACATGCCACCACGCCTGGCTAATTTTTTTGTGTGTGATTGTTTTTTAATAGAGATGGGGTTTCACCATGATGGCCAGCCTGGTCTTGAACTCCTGACCTCAAGTAATTCACCTGCCTCAGCCTCCCAAAGTTCTGGAATTACAGGGATGAGCCACTGCACCCAGCCTCCACATATTTATTATTACCAATAATTCTCAATAACATCCTTGACCACACATCCTATTACTTTGTGATACAGATGGGTGGTCTGCTCTCCAATAGGAAAGCTGCTAGGCACATGTGGCTATTTTAATTTAAATACTAAAATCAAGCAAAATTAAGTAGTTTCTCTGTTACTTTAGCAACATTTCAAATGCTAAATAGCCTCTGCTATCCTTTGGATATGGTTTGTTTGGCCTTCTAGGTCTCCTGTTGAAATTTGACCTCTAGTGGTGGTAGTGGGGCCTGGTGAGAGATGTTTGGGCCATGGGGCTGAGTCCTTCCTTAAGAAATGGCTTAGGGCCATCCTTTTGGTAATGAGTAAGTTCTCACTCTGCTGGTTCCCATAGAGTTTCTCCTAGAGCTGGTTGTTAAAAAGAGCCTGATACCTGCTGTTTGTCTCTCTCTCTCTTTCTCTCACTTCCCCTCTTGCAATGCGGTCTGCACATGTTAGCTCCTCTTTGCATTCCATCATGAGTGGAAACAGCTTGAGTCTCTCACCAGAAGCAGATGCTGGTGCCATTCTTTTTCTACAGCCTGCAGAATGGTGATCCAAATAAACTTCTCTTCTTTCTAAATTAATCTGTCTCAGGTATTCCTTTATAACAACATTAAAGAGGCTAAGTTAGCCTCATATGGTTAGTGCTGGTCATGTTAGCACAATAGAATATTTTTATTTTCATAAGTTCCTTGAACAGCGCTGCCTAAATGTTTGTCAAGCTTGTTTCTTTTCCCTGGGTGGACAGCTAAACGTATTTTTGAATCCCCTTCCATTAAGGTCTGACCTTGTTACCGGTTCTCATCCATCGTAACTAGGGAAATAATATATTCTTTTGGCTAACCATAGAAGAAACTTGGGTCCCAGAATGATTGCATGCAACAGATCATAGGTGCCCTCCTCAAACTAAAAAAAATTGTGATTAGAGTGAGAAATAAATCTTGATTTTGTTAATCAACCAATATGTTGGGGTGTTTAGTTACAACATTTAGCACAACATAACAAGTACATTGCCTTTTGAAAATGTTAGGAGTCATAATATAGCATTCTGAAGTATCAATGATGTTTCCTCAAAACACTACAGACATTAATTAATACATTCTTAATTTTTTATTATAGTCACATGAATACAGTTTCATTTTTTATTTCTTTGTGGGTAACTTTTTTGACATCCGTAGAAATGGCCTTTGTTCATAGAAATATTTCTTTTTATTTCATTTAAACGTATTCTTAGTACTTGGCAAAACCCTTAGATATTCAAGTTAATGTTCATTTTCAGCTCAGGAATGTTTCTATTATTTCTTTGATTATTATTTTGAGTCTGTTTGCCTTATATTTTCATGAATTCATTAAGCTCTTTTTTTTCTTGTAGATTGCATTTCCTGGATCTGTTCCCTTTTTCTTTCATCATTCTATTAGTCAGCTTGGGCTACCATAATGACATACAACAGGTTGGATGGCTTCAACAGATAATTTTTTTTTCTCCTATTTGTGGAGAACTGCAAGATAAAGGGTTTGGCAGATTTAGTTTCTGGTGAGGGTTCTCTTACTAGCTGACAGATGGCTACCTCCTTAGTACATCCTCATATGGCCTTTTCTGAGTGCATGAGAAAAAGAGGAACAGGGGAGAGGGACAGATTTTTTTGGTATCTCTTTTTATAAGAACTCCAAATCTATCAGATCGAAGTCCCAATGTTATGACATAATTTAAACTTCCTTAGAGGCACATCTCCAAATATTACCTTAACTGAGGGTTAGGGCTTCAACATATGAATTTTGGAGGGGTACAAACATTTGGTCCATAACAATTATTTACTTTTTATTGCTTATTCTTCTCGTCAGAATACTTGATGAATATCTTAGTCTTCCATTTTTACTAAATAGATCTTCTTCAGTTATTGATTTGTTTTTCAAAGCTTCTATCATACTTTAAAACTTGACCTCATGTTTCTCATCTTGTTGCAAGTTTTCCAAGATCTCATGTTGTTTGTCTTTTCCCATGATAATTTGCTCTGATGTCAAAGATGTGTTCTGATTTTGTGGATATAGAAATTCAATTAGGTTTATTTGTTGCCTTAGGAACTGAAACACTCAAAGTGAGCAAAAAAAGGGATTCATTGCAAATATCATGATCTAATTTAGAAAACTGAAGGACAACTTGAATAAGCATTGAAAAATTCAAGAACTTTGTCATCAGAAACTGTCATCAAATGTCTCAGCTTAAACAGTAGTCATTCTCTCCATGATTCTTAATATTTAGTTACTTGGAGATAAAGTCTCACTGCTCATCATTAGGTCACATTTCTTCTGTTCTGTGCTGTGTCATTTTGAATGAGGTGTGTATGTTTTGTTGAACAGACAAAAGTAATCCTTAAAGGTGGAATTTAGTCTATTTTCTCAATCATACTCTGCTACAGAATATTTTTTAACTTAAATAAATGTTTTTCTGACAGCAGAATTTCTTATTGT